ACCTGCTATCTATGAATTTCATTTGGTGGCCCCTTGTTCTTGTATTATGAGGAGTAAATAACACTTCCTAATTTACTTTCTCTATACCACTCATTTTATAGACCTCTATCATATCCCGCTTTAGTCACCTCTTCTCCAAGCTGAAAAGTCCCAGTCTTATTAATCTCTCCTCATACGGAAGCTGTTCTACTACCCCTAATCTATTTTTGTTGCCCTTTTCTGAACCTTTTCCAATTCCAATATATCTTTTTTGAGATGGGGTGACCATATATGCATGCAGTATTCAAGGTGTGGGCATATTTTGACTGCCGCTGCACATTGAGTGGATGATTTCAGAGAACTCTCCACAATCACTCCAAGATCTCTTTCTTGAGTGGTAACACGTAATTTAGACCCAATCATTGTATATGTATAGTTAGGATTATGTTTTCCAGTGTGCATTACTTTGCATTTATCAACATTAAATTTCATCTGCCATTTTGTTCTCCAGTCACCCAGTTTTGTGAGATCCTTTTGTAGCTCTTTGCAGTCTGCCTGGGACTTAACTATCTTGAGTAGTTTTTAATCATCTGTAAATTTTGCCACCTCACTGTTTACCCCTTTTTCCAGATCATTTATTAATATGTTAAATAGAACTGGGCCCAGTACAGATCCCTGGGGGACACCACGATTTACCTCTGTGCATTCTGAAAACTGACCATTTATTTCTATCCTTTGTTTTCTATCTTTTAACCAGTTACCAATCCATGAGAGAAACTTCCCTCTTATCCCATGACTGCTTATTTTGCTTAAGAGCCTTTGGTGAGGGACCTTGTCAAAGGCTTTCTGAAAATCTACATACACTATATCCACTGGATCTCCTTTAGCTGCATGCTTGTCGTCCCCCTCAAACAATTCTAGTAGATTGGTGAGGCATAATTTCCATTTACAAAAACCATGTTGACTATTTCCCAACAAATTATGTTCATCTATGTGTCTGAACATTTTGTTCTTTATGATAGTTTCAACCAATTTGCCCGGTACTGAAGTGAGGCTTACTGGTCTGTAGTTGCCAGGGTCACCTCTGGAGCCCTTTTTAAAAATTGGCATCACCTTAGCTATCCTTCAGTCATTTGGTACAGAAGCTGATTTAAATGATAGGTTACAGACTACAGTTAGTAGTTCTGCAATTTCACATTTGAGTTCCTTCAGAACTCTTGGGTGAATACCATCAGATCCTGGACACTTATTACTGTTTAGTTTATCAATTTTTTCCAAAACTTCCCCTAATGACACCTCAATTTCCTCACTAGGACTTAACTTCCACTTTAAGTTGTCACCCATCCCCGGCGGAGTGGGGGTGAGGGTGACAGACAGGCTCCACCCCAGTGCGTTCTTTTTGCTTTATTAAAGTCTCTTCTGTCACTGCCATTTCCTGCCCAGACTCCCTGGTTCATAGATCTGCCAACTGTAAGGCCAGGAGGTACCATTGCGACCATGCAGTCTGACCTCCTGCGTAACCCGGGCCAGAGAACCTCACCCAGCAATTCCTGCATCAAGTCCATATCTGGTGGTTGAGCTAGACTGGCTCTTCCCACCAGCCTCAGGAGTGGGAATCTGCACTGTCCTATGGGGAGGTGAAAAGTCCCATCTGAGCCGTGGCTGAGGCTCCTGGCATGTTGCCTTGGCCTGGCATCACCAAAGTTCTGTCCCCACGCCTCCCAAGTCATGCTGCAGCAGTGGGGGCCATCCGTGGGCTCCAACTGAAGTCAGTGCTCTGGTAGCACAGAGGCTCCTAGACGGCGCTTTGCTCCTCCTGCCCATTGATGGTGACACTGGCCTCGGTCATGGAGCATGGCAGGTGCTCAGTGCCGAAGGGACGCCGGCAGCGCTGGGCCGTGGTGCTGCCCACTTGTGGGCTGTAGACGGTGGAGGTGAGCTCCTGGCTGGGCAGGGCAGTGCCCGCACGCAGCGCCCTCCACCTGGCGATGAATCTGCAGTACCTGCGGAGAGGGGGACACAGTCACTCTCACATGGGCAGCCAGGGTGCAAGGGGGCCCGGGGGGAGGGACAGGCTAGAAACTAAGGAGCTCCCTAGAGCCCAGCCCCAGCAACTAATGCCACTAAGAGCATCTCACTGGCAGAGGGTGTGCCAATGCCCAAGCTGCCTGTATGGCATGGGCACAGCTTGACATCAGGGCACAGGCAACATAGCAGGAAGACGAGTGTCCAAGAATGGAGTGGTGACAATGCATGGGCAGAGAAGGGGTCTGGTTGGGAGGGGGAGGATCTCACCAGCCTGGGGGCAGGGGAAGGTCAGAGTTTTTTGCTTGACACAAGAAGCAGTGCTGCCCCTTGCACCCCAGGCTCCTGCTCCTGGCCCTTTGTGGCACCAATGGGCCCATGGGGGTGGGGGAGAGTTAACAGCCGTTCCTACTCCAGCCGGCCCTGGCAAGCAAGCTCTCTATGCAGGAGGAGGCTGTTATGCAGGGTGCCAGCAACAGGGGGCAGCACAGCAGGCAGCAGACCCTGGCATGAGGGACCCCTGCCTGGTGGGAAGGGGCTGGGAGCTATAGTGGGACGTGCAGTCCTGGCTGAACTCCCCCCAGGAGCTGGGTTCACCCCCAATCCTGACATTTGCTCCAGCCAGAGATGTGGGGCTCATAGAATGGGAGCCCATGGACCAGCAGGGCTCTGTGGGAGGAAACCCAAATCCCCATTACCCCAATCCCTCAGGTACCATGACGGCAGAGCGATCCCCTGGGCTCGGATCCCTCTTCAGACCCTGAGCTCTGGCTGCTGGCTCTGCTGAGATGTGGCAGCTAGCAGGAGCTGCCCAGGTGCAGGCTCATGTGCCGGGTGTGAAAGGACAGAGCAGGCTGGCACTAGACTGGCCTGGGGAGCAGAGAGAGCAGGGGAGAGTGGGGTTACTATGCAGCTAGCGCCACACACACTTGCTTTGCAAACCAGCCAGGGTGCAGGCAGGGAAGGGGCAGACTGTGGAGGAGATGGCAGGAGCAGGTGAACTGTGACCCCCAATGGCTGGGCATGGGGGGTGCAGGCCAAGGAAGGCACTGGGGAGACACTGAGCTGGAGGTACTGGTGGCTTGGCCCTGGAGAGGCAGCAAGTGTGTGTGGGGGGTGTCATTCCAGGGATGGTGGTGTGGTGGAGCTGGGCACTATCTGTGGGGAAAGGGGGATTTGGGGCAGAAGGGAGGGGTGGATGGAGGAGCAGAGGGGAGGACCCCAGGGGACTCCGATGGGGGAAGGACTGGGCAGAGGAGTCAGAGTCAATGGGGGAGCAGAACCCACGAGGGCTGGGGATTTTGGGGGTAGGTCAGCAAGGGGACGGGGCAGATCTCAGGGTCTTCCATAGGCTGCTGACACAGGGAGGCAAAAGGAGGCCTGGGATCAGAGGTCAGGGGCAGCTCCCAGACAAGGGCAATTCTCCAGACTTGGGGGATTGGAGTGAAACTTCAAAAGCCCTGAGTGAGGGATGGACCTGACCCCCCAGGCTCACCACCCACCCCTGGAACAGGGCCCGACCTCCATGCTCATTGCCCACACCGGGAGTGGGGCCCGATCCTGGGCTCATTCACCAGGATGCACTCACACCCAGGGCCGACGAGAGGGGGGGAAGCTGGTACAAATTACCGGGGCCCGGCGGTCCAGAAGGGGGCCCGGGGCCCAGCTTCCCCCCCCCCTCTCGTTGGCCCTGTTTAGCCAGTCTGCCCTTGCTGGGGGACCCGAAAAAATTTTTTTCACCAGGGCCCAAACCCACTCTTGGTGGCCCTGCTCACACCTGGAGTGGGATCCCGCTGGGCTATGGCCAGATGTGAGGACTAGAACAGGAGGTGTAGGGCAGCAGGGGTGCGTACTAAGGAGCTGCCTGGCCTTTAATCATCCCCAGCAAAGATCCAGGGATCACAGCCCTTGCAGTGGCTTCCTGAGGGGAGCGAATACAGGCTGTCCCCCTGGGGATCTGGATTGCAGGGATGCAGGTTCTGTGCCTGACTTGGCCAGTAACGCAGGGCTGGGCTCACCTCACCCCCAGAGCACCTTCAAGGCCAGCACAGGACACAGAGCCCTATCTCTGCACTGGGGTGGGGCAAAGCTGGATTGGGGGGGGGGGAGTTGCCCAGGAAGGGGGCTGGAGACAGGGGTTAAATCATAGAATATCAGGGATGGAAGGACCTCAGAAGGTCATCTAGTCCAACCCCCTGCTCAAAGGGGGACCAATCCCCAGACAGATTTTTGCCCCGATCCCTAACTGGCCCCCTTAAGGATTGAACTCACAATCCTGGGCTTAGCAGGCCAATGCTCAAACCACTGAGCTATCCCTCCCCCAGGAGAAGTAGGTGGGGAGAGACATCAATTCCTGCCCCAGCCTGTAGGGTGGCCTGACGGAACCATGAGCACACCTGCAGCATCATCTCCCCCCCACCCCGATCCCCTTATTAATCCCCGTCCCCAGCAGCCCGTGCCCCGCCCGCACCTAGAGTGGGCCATCCGCTCGCGGAAGAACTCAGTGCAGAAGAGGACGAGGACGGGGCTGACGCAGCTGTGGGCATAGCTGAGACAGATGGTGAGCTGGTTCAGGTAGAAGGAGGCAACGGAGGGGGCGGCCGTCAGGTTGACCAGCTGTACCACATGAAAGGGTGTCCAGCAGATGAGGAAGGCAGTGATGATGGTGAGCGCCATGCGGGTGACTCGCCGGCTGCGGGCCGAGCAGCGTCGCTGCGCCCGGTGCATGGCCCGGAACAGGTGGTGCAGGGTGAGGGAGTACAGCACCGTGATCACCAGCAGCGGCAGGAGGAAGGCCGCCAGTGACTGGTAGAGCGTGTACCAGTACAGGCTGCTGGGGCCTGGCAGATCCATGAGGCACAGCTCCGTCTGGTTCTCCCGCTGCACCCGGGCGTACAGCATGGCTGGCGTGGCCATCACCAGGCTGCTGGCCCACACGCCGGCATTGATCAGGGCCGTGCAGCGCAGCGTCCGCTTCTGGCCCACTGTGGACGAGTACACCACTGCCACGTACCTGGGGAGAGAGTGGCCATCAGGAGGGGCACGGAGCAGGATGGGGGGGTGAGGCAGGGAGATCTAGGGGTGACAATGGGGCTGGGGATGAGACAGCTGTTGTGCCCCATGTTTCAAAGAGGGGACAGAGTTCCTAGCTGCCCCAGCTTGAAGAGGCCAGGAAACAATGACCCAAGTGCTGATGCAGGGGGTCCCTACCCTCAGGCCCTGAGCAGGGGGTGCAGACCCCCTACACCAGCTCAACACTATCTGAGGGGGCTGGGCAGGGGGGGTTGCTGGGGCTCAACTTCACCCCTTTCTGCCCTGCCACACCCCCACCTCCACCGGAGCCCTGCAGCCCCCATCCTCATTTCAACCCTGCCCTGCCCCCAGCTCCACCTGTGCCCTGCGGCGCCCCCCTCCCATTCCAGCCCTGCCATCCCTTAGCTCTGCCTCTATCCTGAAGCCCTCCCACTATTCTAGCCCTGTTCTCCCCACCTCCAGTATTCCAGCCCTGCAGCCATTCGGGCCCTGTGTGAGTTCAGCCTTTGGGGGCTTGTCCACCCCCCAGGGTTGCCCCAACCCCGCAGGCTACAGCCTGTGCTATGGCTGCCAACACCGCAGCTGTGAGAGTGACACTAGCTGCCCAGAAGTAAAGTGACCATATTTTCCCAAAGGGAAAACAGGACACCCCATGGGGCCAAGGCCGTGCTGCAGAGCATGCCCTGGTGGGTACCTGTCCACGCAGAGCACGGTGACGATGGCCACGCTGGTGAACTGGTTGTTGAGGTCGAGGGTGGTGACAGCACGGCACAGAAAGTCCCCGAATATCCAGCCGTGCTCCTGGATAAGCTGGTGGATGATAAAGGGCATCCCCACCAGGAAGAGCAGGTCAGCCACGGCCAGGTTCAGGATGTAGACGTCCGACACCAGCTTGTGCTTGCAGCTCAGCACGATGGAGATCACCAGCCCGTTGGCCAGGATGCCGCAGCCGCAGATGAGGGCGTACACCACAGGCAGCACCAGTGACAGGGCCGGCCCCAGAAGGCTACCCCAAGCTGCAGACCCCTCGGTGTCCAGGGGTAGGGAGCCCAGCGGCTCCAGCTCGCACGGCATCAGGGAGAGGTTGGGGGGCCCGGCATGCAGAGCGCCAGAGAAGATGTTCAGGCCCAGGGTGAAGTCACTGCTCCTGTCCAGCAGAGCAGCCACACCTGGCCCCAGGTGCGACGCGTTGGCATGCAGCTCCTGAGGCTGCCCCGAGTACTGTGGCATGGCCACTGCTGGGGCAGAGGGCACCCAGTGTGGGTCAGAGGGTGTCCAGGGATGGACCCAGAATGCACCAGCCCCCTTCTCCTGCCAGCACTCGGGCTGTGCTGCTGGCCCAGGAGGGGGCCCTTGGGAATGGGGGTGGCCCCTAGACGGGGACCCGTCAGCTAGCGTCCCCACGACGGCTCCTGGGCTAGCTGCTGCCCGCTCCCCCGGGCCGTCCCCAGGCGGCGGGGGCGTGGCGCCCCGTCAACCCCAGCCTTTAAAGGCACCGGGGGGACCCCGGCCTCGTTGAGTCCCGGATCCAGCCCACGGGAGCTGCGTGGCTAGACGACGCCCAGCAGGGCACCTTCCCCGGGGCACTGCGCTGCGCGGCTGGGCCCGATCCCCGCGGATCCGGAGCCACTTGCTCCTGCCCAGGAGCCGCCCCGGCCACTCACCGGTGCCTGGATCCCGGAGACAGCCCCGACCAGACTGCGCAGGCTAACGGCGCCGGCGGATGGAGCCGCCCCCGCGCCCAGGGCTCGGTCAGAGGCTCGCGGAGCCCCAGGCTCTCCGGGACCCCCTTGGAGCTGGGCCCGGCCGGTTCCGCCTGCGGGGCCGGGGGAGCCGAGATCCGCTGAGCCGCTGCCCCCCCAAACAGCTCCGCGCAGCCAGCCCCTGTCCGCGCCCCCCGCCCCCAGCGGGGGAAACAATGCGGGCGGGAGCTCAGAGACAGCCGCCTGCCAATGCTCGGGGGGGAAGTCACGGCAAAGCGCAGCCGGTCGCGGGGGACAATGCAGCCGGGTGTGAGGGGGGTTGGGGGAAGAACGCAGCCCGGGGGGGTAGGGCGACAATGCAGATGGGGGAGGGGAGACAGTGCAGCCGGTCGGGGAAGGGGGAAGGCGGGGGAGAGGCGAATGCAGCCCAGAGGGAGCGGGTGACTGTGCATTGGGGGAAGGGAACCGGCTGTCCCCTGCGCCCAGCAACTCAACCCTGTGTGAGAAACCAGCAAACACCCCCCGGTCTTTCTGAGCTGGTGGTGAGTCAGTGGCCCAAATCACATCCACATCCCTTAGTGCAGCAGGAGCCGGTGCCACTGTAACATCAGCCTGGCCGGAGGGAGGGGGGCATGCCTGGGTAACTGGATTGGCAGGAAAGTTGGTGGCTCCCCTGATGCCTCCAGTTTTGGGGCTCTTCCCTGTGCTGCAGGGGCATTGCCAGTTCTCCCGCTACCTCGCCATCCAGGGGTGTGGAATCCCCAAGCCGTGCCTACCTGCATGGAAGATGAGTCACCCTGTGACATCTCACCTGGGACAGAGCAGTAGGGGATGTTGTAGGTAACACTCCAACCCTGCCAGTGTGGGGCCGGATACTCGGTGCTCTAGTGACTGCTGGTCATAGGGGCGCTAACCCCCTTCTGGCTCAGAGAGGCAGGTGTGCACGGACATGGCCAATGGCAGCACGGCTCTTGATTCCCCTTTCTGATAGCCACCGGTGGGTGGGGTCAGGTTCAGGGCATGGGACACTGTGAGACCATGAGGTAGGTGCCAGCTCCCCAGTGGAGGCTGCTTTCTCCATCCTTATGCAGGAGCCGGGCACCCACAGCATCTCTCCTGCTCCCATGCACTGAGCACAGCCGGGGCATCATCCAGGTCAAATGGCAGCCCCTGGAGAGTGTGGCGGCGGCAGCACAAAGGCTGTGTGTAAGTTATTCTCACTTGCGGCTGCTGGTCCCAGACAAACTCTTTGATTGCTGCTGGCTCCCAAGCCGGGTCCCCGGCGCCACTGCTCCTGCATCAGGCAGGCCACGGCTCCATCCACAGAGCATTGAGGGTTGCAGGCCAAGAGGAGTTGATTTCCAGTGTCGCAGAATCAACTCCAGCCCAGCAGGAGCTCCTAGGTCTGCCAGGGTGCGGGAGTGAGCCACCAGCACTATGAGTGAGCCGTGGTGCGATCTACAAATGGGGACTGAGATGTGGGCCTGAGCGGGGAGAGAGAGACTGTGTCTGGCTCAGTCGGGCCTGAAGAGGGTGGATTCTTGTCTCCAGGTTGCACGGGTGGAGAATCCCTGCACTAGGGATTTGCCCAAGGAAGGGGGGATTCAGCCCCACCACAGGTCTCCAGCCTCCTCAAACTACTGGGATCTAGGCCCCATGGCAGCACAGGGAACCCCCACCAGGGAGACAGGGGCTTGATCATTACAACCAACAATTACCCTGTGTGGATGGTGGCAAGAAGCCATGGACACACCTTGCTGGTCACACAGGGTGGCTGGAAAAGGGGCCATGGGGGAAGGCTCTGGTCCCGTGAGGGGCTGGAAATGCATCTATAGGAAACTCCCTTGTTACAGGTGATTGCTGAACTGCATTGATTTGCGAGCGGCTTGGAGAGCTAGCAAAAGGCCTGGTGAGGCAGGCAGGCTTGCACCATGCCCCTGGCCTCCCCGCTAGGCTCTGGCTCTAATAGCCTGGGGGTACCGAGGAGTGGAGCTCAGGCCCCATCTGCCAGGCTGTTAGCAGCTGAGACTGTGGGACTGTGCCTCCTGCAAGGGAACGGAGACAGGAGCTGGGTGGGCAGGGGAGTGGGTACCGAGCGGCATGCTGCCCAGAGCAGCTGAAGAGAAGGGCTGGACCAGGCATTTGCGAAGTGTCAAAGCAGCAGTGTGTGCGTGCGAGGGGTGGTGAGGCTGTCATGCATGATTATATATGTATGTACCAGCTGTCTGAGGGGGCGGGTGTGTATCGACAGCTCTTGCTGCAGGGCCAGGCTAACTGTCATGCAGAGGTGGTGCCAGCCCATTGGGGGCTCTAAGCAGGAATATTTTTGTCCCCCCCAATAATATTTAAAAGCGAACAGCCCTCCCCCCCATTGAGTTACCCTGGACCCTAAGCGATTGCTCAGTCTGCTTACGCTCAGGGGACCACGCTGAGGTTCTGGGCTGCCCAGAGCGAGCTTGCTGCTGCATCACTTTGATTTTGGCCAGACCCACATCTTCCCCTACCCCCACCGAGCCCTTTTCATTCCTCATTATAGCGGGGGAGGCTGCTTACCCCCAGCGCACCCTGCTGTCTGTTGCTATGGGAGTGTTTGCTATGGGAGTGCATGCAGGATGGTGCCTGGTCCATCTCCCTCCCCCCGCCCCCCGGCACGACCAGGAGTAATGGGGTAGGGTCTGGGGGCAGCACTCTGGGACTGCCTGGCATGTGCAGAGCAGAGCTCCTCCAGCCCAGCTTTGCACTGGCTCCCTATGACAGATGCTAACAGGACATGGCCCAGGTCACAGTGAGTCAGTGCCAGAGCCAGGAGTGGAAACCAGGAGTCCTGGCTCCTAGGCCCATACACCATCTACTAACCCCAGATCAGCCCTGCCCCTACTGCCCACAGCCCATCCCCACAGCATCACCAGGGGCCCCATTTTCACAGCTGGGTGACCCAGCTTTGGGATGGAAAGAGGAGATGGTGTTGGAGGGTAGGGAAGCCCAGGGTTCATGTCTTGTTTCTGCTTGTTTCGCAGCCCTGTCAGATCTGCTTGCCTTGATCCTGCAGAAGGACACTGGAACAGGGCTGGCTACCTCCCAAGCACCCCCTCGTGGCCTGCCTTGGTGCTGCAGTGGCCCTGCCTCAGTTTCCCCTCTCCATAGGGCACCTGAACTACTCCCCACCACAGTTCAAAATAAGGTTCCCTTTCCAGGGGCTGATTTCAGTTCTGCCAATGAAGTGGTAGAAACAAAGTGTCTGGCTGGCTTTCTGCTCTCTCTCTCTCTCTTCCCAGCCACACCCCCTAGGATTTCTTGTCTCTCCACACACTCCGGCTCAGAGATGCCAGCAAGCCAAAAAAAACCCTGTTGCTGTTCTGGTGCTACTCAGCCATCTTCGCCAGGCCTTTGCTGAAATGTCCCTTTCCCTTTACTCAGGCCTCTCCTGTAGGGGAAAAGCTACAAGTTCCATTTTGTTTAGGCACGTCGCCATTTTGTTTGTAAGGAGTTGTTTTTTGTCCACCATGTCGTGACCTTCTTCTTGAGACAACTGGTGCCTTTTTCTCTCTACGGTGGGAAAGAGCAAGGGTCACATAGCCTACTCGGAGGGTTTTTTTTTTTTTGCTTCGGGATTTTCGATCTTGGGGTGGCAAAAAACCCTAGGCCTAGGGGCGGCAAAAATCATTAATCTGCCACTGCCTCTGAACCTGGTGTAGTATGCTGTATACCTCTGTACCTTACCTGTAGTAAATTCCCCTTTGTCCTTATGGGTTTGGGACCTTGACTTTAAGTCAGTTTGTTATGCCAACCTGTACCTGTATGCCCTTTGTATATTGTTTTGCTGCGGGTCCTATAAGTTACTGTTTCCTGTTTGAGTCACTGTTTAATAAACCAGTTTGCTTT